AAAAAAAAAAAAAAAAGCAGAGGAATGACTGCTTCATTACTGGTAGTATTAATTGCTAGTGTTTCTCTTCTCATTGCATATTGCTTTGTGTTGCATATATGAGGTAGCACTGATCCTTAGGCCTACCCGTAAGTAAGAGACCCCTACTTGTCCTATTAATGGTAATTTTGCAGGATTAACCACTTAACACGAACATGCTCTTAGTGGGCTGCAGAGTCAGAAGTACTCTTCCCACCTACTAAAAGTGATCTGACCAGTGATTTTATAAGAACCACAGGACTAGTCAAAGTGTTTCTTAATACTGTTTAAAGGCTCACATGCTTGATGAAGAGTTTGGAGTACGGACCACCATAACACATCACCTTTTAAGAAGCAATCAAAGGAGTGTTCTTTCTATGTGATTAATTACTAACAGAGCCAGACTAGGAATTTTGAGAAACTGTGCACTAAATATGGTGTTACATTTGAAAAGAATATATTTCAATGTATCTAGATTGTCACGCAGCAAATTTTGACTCATTTATTAACATAAGTTTTTATACTGCCATGTTAACCAACTTGACAAATATTACAGGTTCCCAATACAGATACCTGTTAATAGCACTGTGTTCTTCAACATAAACCTGGCACAGAAATGGATACAGGGAGCTCTGTGATTTGGTCCACTTCTTCTCAGTCTTTTGGTAAAATCCTCACTTTTTCGTGTTCACCCCTTGTCCATCCCATCTTTGTCCAAGCTCCCACCTACCAGTTATCCTTTACTCACTGGACCCCCAACACTGGATATAGCAAGGATCACAGAAAGGACCAAAATATCATTTAAAGGAATGGGATCTGGAGTGACAACCACTGGGGACAGTGGTTGGTGGGTCTGGAATTTGCAGAATGACATCAATCTTCTTTCAACCTTTGTGAAAGCATAGGGGTGGTTGCTGGTCACTGCATTAGTGGAAGGCAGGACACTGAGGTTGGGCTGACACTGCCCTCAGCCACCCTTTCTCGCTCCGTGTGTTAGAGGATGAGCAGTTGCTGTGGTCAGGGCAGCGAGGCAAGGGTAACACCACCGGATTTCATTGGAGTCCCAGCCTCTTCAGACTGCAGTCAGGAAAAGGGAAAAGCCCCAGCCTTACTGCTTTCTTCCATGAAAAAGAAGAACTGGGAAGTGAAGATGGGAACCACTCAGCCCATTTATGGACACCACAAAATTTGCTGGGAGCAAACCAGAGAAGCCCCTCTCAAAAACTGAGAAGCATTAGCTAATCCACCCCATTTCCCAGCTCCTCTCATCCTGCTCCAAGTCTGTTCTACTCTCAGCAGCACACAGAGGCGTTTCTTAGTGGGCAAGCAGAACGAGAGAAATTATTCTTGCTGTTTCCAACCTCCAGACTTTGTAGAGATTTGATGTGTGACACCAGAATTGGACAGAAATCCATGCTGGATAAGAGAGTGAGTGGCTATAGGTGGAGACTGTCTCCTATAGATGACCTTTCCAGCTGAAGCCTCAGCTTTGCACTGTCAATTGGAGAGAGCATCATACTTCCTCATAGTGCATTATCAAGTTTTGTGCTGTCAAAATAACAGCTTCTACAAAAGTCACATTTGCCTGAATATCTTTGAGTGTTCATCTCTCTAAAAAATTGACAAAAAGCTCATAATCCTAACACAAGGAAATGTTGATAACAGTTTGTTTCATTTTACACAGCAGGTACTGTTCAATTAGAGCACACTTTTTGCCACAGCGCATATTTTATCATATGT